GCAATCGAATTATTGTTACCATTAAACACCCTCAGAATGAGAATCCCATTTTTGCCCCTCACTGACTGAGATCTTAATAGCCGGCAGTCAGAGTATTATCTCCTTATAGAATCATAGAATACAGTACAGAAGGATACCATTGTCTGTGTCGGCTCTTTGGAAGATCTACCCAATCAGTCCCACTCTCTTGCTGTTTCCCCATATCCTTGCACATTTTTCCTTTTCAAGATCCTCTTCAATTCCCTTTTGAAAGTTGTTATTGAATCTGTTTCCACGCTTTCGGGCAGCGCGTTTCAGACCGTGACAACTCTGTGTATCTGTCACTCTGCCCTCTCTCAATCTTTTTCTCCCACATGAGGTATAAGTAAACCTGTCCTCCTGTCTTATGGAGTGTTAGGTCCATGCCTATCCTGTTACTGTCAGTGACAGATATCCAGCTTATTACCATATTCCCTGGGGCTTTGGGATTTGAAAGAAATGACAGATCTCACTTTGGCCCCGAAGTCTTTCCTCCGGTGCAAACAAGATCAGCTCAGCAAGCTTTGCTCATACCGTCCTCATTTCTGGGCGCACTTTGGCTGTCACTACACTTAAATCCTGTGAAGCGCTTTGAGACGTCCTTCTGACATGAAGGATGCTGTACCAAATGCAAGATTATTATTATAACTTTGGCCCTGAGTATGGAATCTTCTCTAAACCATCAGAAAGTTTCAAATGCTGACAGGATTTATGCGATGGAATGTAATGGCTGTTTGGAAGAACTATTGTATCACCGGAGTTCTGTCCTGGCTAACAATCCAACAGATACACTGGTTATTATAACAATAATAATTTGGTCACTCAATCCATGACTGTTTGTGGGACACTGCTGTGCGAAATTGGCTGCTGCGTTCATCTATAAATAGTCTCTATTCTTAACAGTAATCACTGTAAAGTGCTTGGAGACATTTTGATGCTATGTTCAACACGAGGCCTAATACATTCCTGTAGGTAAGTGGTGAGCTAGCTATTCAATCATTGAGTGATTCAATCCTAAGTCATTTTACTTGTCATGTATCTTGACACATCTACAACTTACATGCCAAGAAATGTGGCATTTCAGTCAGTATTATTATTATCTTTAAGACAGTTTTGAATTCTTCAGTGCTTTTTTGAAAATGTCTCAAAATGCTTCACAGGATTTAGTGCAATCAAGTGTAGTTTGTAGGTGAATGCAACAGCCAATTTGCATTCAGCTGTGAAGCAAATGACCAATTTTGTTGTGAAGTTATTGGAGAATCTCTCTTCTCTTTTGTGCCATAGGATGTATAATAATAATAATCCGAGCATTTTATAGTGCCTTATTATGTCTTTGCGATGTCTCGAATCGCTTCACGGGATATAGTGTAAAGTGAACTGACTGTATATTTTTTGGGTGAAACGTAGCAGCCAATTGCATACAGCAGTGTCCCACAAACAGTCGTGGATTGAGTGACCAAATTATTATTTTTTTTTTGAAGGGATTATTACCCCCAGAAAAGTGATCTGCCAATCGACTAACAACTAGGTTTCTACTTACTGCTAGATGAAGAGGTGTGTGGAGTAACAAAACTTGCCCAACGTTTAGTCCTGCCCCGGGAATCAAACCCAGCTCCTCTCATTTGTGAGGCAAGTTCTCTAATCACTGAGCTCCAGGACACCAACTGAATGGGCAAACAGGATCCGTTTAACATCTCATCCGAGGGATGGCACCTCCAACAATCCAGCACATTCAAGGCACTGTACTGGAGCATCAGCCTGGTCTGAGTTCAAAATCCCAACTCAGAGGTCAGAGGAATCAGGATGACACCTGGACTTGAACAGGGTTACCACACCCATATTGTAGTGCAGTATTGCTCACCTGAGATATTGTCATGTCAAATGTGAAACGAGCAAAACAAAACTACTTAAATTGAAAGGAGTAACCATGAAGCCGTCGGTAAGAGAGTGAACAGAGCAATTTTACCTCCAGGTCACCAGCGATGAGTGAAAACCACAACACCTTGTGTTCATAGAATCTTCCAGCAGAGGGAGGCCATTCATCTCATCTTGCCTGTGCAAGTTCTTTGAAAAAACTATATCAGTCCCATTCCCATTTTACCCAATAGCCCTGCAAATTTTTCCTTTTAAGTACCTATCCGATTCCCTTTTGAAACCCATTATCAAATCAGTTTCCACCACCCTTTCAGGCAGCGCATTCCAGACCGTAACAAATCTCTGGGTAAAAAAAATTCTCCTTTTCTCCCCTCTGGTCCTTTTGCCAATTATCTTAAATCTATGGTTACTGACCCACCCGCTAGAGGAAACAGTTCCTCCTCATCTACTCTATCAAAACCCCTCATAATTTTGAACATCTGTTAAATCTCACCTCAACAGTCTCTGCTCTAAGGAGAATAATCCCAACTTCTCTCGTCTCTCCACATAACTGAAGTCTCTCATGCCTGGTGTTATGTGGGTCATTTATAACAATACTCCCAAGTCTTTATTTGAGAGAGGGATCAAAAATGACAATATTTGGATTAATTTAATTAGCACCTAGATATGTGCTCGCACATTTATTTTAGCTCAAGTCGCTGGGTTACTAAGCTCAGACCACAGACCATCAGTAAGAGGCTGAATAGGGCAATTTTGCTTAAATCTTTTCCGCTCAGCAGACTCCAGCCTGCTCCACGTCCCCCACCCAGCCCACCCACGATTGGTGGATGGGCTTCAGCTTCTCTACTCCACCCTTTGGAAGTCCATCCCACATTCCCTTCGCCTCGCTCCCTCCCTTGCCTCCTTCAAGGCATGTCTCAAGACCCTCCTCTTCGACCGCACCCTAGGCCACCCTCCTACCCTCTCTACCCTCCACCTCCCCTGACCCCAATCCCCTGCTCGGGTTCAAATCCCCGACTGTCCAGTGCTTGGGGACGTGCTCCCGATGTGAAGGGCGCTGTGTAAATGTAATTTTGTATTGTATTTGCTGCGTTTTCCCAAATCAGGTATTATTGTGCTGCTGTCATGTTGCCAACATCACCTTGTGGTCCAATTCGTTTTCACTCAGTGCGCTTGGGTAACTCAGCCCGACGAGTGAATTGGACACATCATCTTATGTGATCCAGAGCTGGGGAGAAATGTAAAGACAGGGATGATGTCCAAGTCAATCAAAGTGGTTTTAATGTTACAAATAGGAACTTCGGTTCATAACCTGCTGTCTTACTGAAGTGCTTTGATTGTGTGTAATTCAATGAGGATGTCAGGTGGTTGTCATACACTTTCAACAGCTTGATCACTGCAGAACCTCTGACCCTGGGCTGCTGTTCAGCAGAATTTTCTTTAGAACAATAGGGAAAAAACTGACGGCAGGGTCTGGGTAAACACAACAACTTGCATTTATGTTAGTAAATTTAGCCAAAAATAGCGTTGACAAATAGTGTTGAACATTACCTCAGTGTCACCAGGTAATTGGCATTGGTCCCGGTGCTGGGAGTAATCCAGACCTGACTGTTCCTGGGAAAGTACAGCGCGCACCAGTGATTATGCCATAAACTGCAGGCAATCCAGTGATCTCACAGCCTGGGTCCATTTCCAGGTGAATGCAAGGTTTCTGCCCCATAAAGTGCAGGGTGTTCACAAAGTCCTGTTACCACCACCCCCCAACCCCCACGTTGTTTTCTTACAATGAATGTTTGTTTATTTCAGTGGCAATAGTGTTATAGTGAGTCGAATGTTACAATGTCTGATTCCAGTCACTCCCTCCTCACTGACTCCATGTTACAGATGTGGAACTGAACATTGCAAAGGATCATTATCTGCCATGAAATTGCTGGAGCTCACACACACCCATCCTCTGGACAGCTAAATAGTTAAACACTTGTAACTTGTACTGAATACATTTAAGATGTACTTCTAAATACAATTACCATCCTGCTTACATGTGTTGGTCAGTGAACTGTAGTTAAAAAAACACACATGGGGTAACAGGACTTTGTGAACACCCTGTACATAAGCAGCAGTGGACAGAGCAATGACACCACATCACACCCGGGGGAACCGCACTGAAGGCGTAAAACATTTTCTTCTAACGACTTACATTTATATAGGCCCTTCATGTGGGGTAGCTTCCAACGCTTGACAGTGGTGGAGTCTGACACTGAGTCAGGGGGAGATGGAAGTGACTGTAAAAGGTCTGTAGGCGGGATTTGAAGATGGGGGGGGTCAAAGCGAGGGATTGAGGGAGAGAGCTAGGAGTTTGCTTTCAATAGCATTTACCTTCCACCTTTATCACATTCGACAGCCGATCAAGTGCAGCACATTTCATACAACCTGCTGTAGACATCCTGTGTATTTTATTGAGGGGACTGCCTTATGTTGGACTTCAGTTCCACAAGTGCCTGTGGCCAACTGTTCCCTCGCCTCGACATTGACAACAGGAAATAAACCATTCACAAGCCTCTGTAACTGGGTGGGTCTGTGTGCGCGTTTGCCACTGCATAGCCTACTCCTCGTCTCCCGTCTGGCCTGCCCCACCGTCGGCAGTCGGGTCTTCAGCCTCTCTGCCCCCACCCTTTGGAACTCCATCCAGAGTCCCTTCACCTCGTTCCCTCCCTCCCTTACCTCGCCTCCATCAAGACCCATCTCAAACCCCATCCTCTTACCCTCCACCCTCCTGATCCCCAGCTCGGGTCTAAAGTACCTGACTGTCCAGGGCCTTAGGACGTTCTCCCAACATGAAGAGCACTATATAAATGCAAGCTGTTGTACAGTGAGTTATCCTCCCTTACTGGTGTTTCGGTCGATATCAGTAAACTCAGCATTTTGCAGGAGTGAAGCTGAAGCGGGTTTGGGCTTTAATGGGAGAGTGTTCCACCAGGCGGTGCTGTACCAGCAGAGCTACTGAAACAGAGGACTGATTTAATAAATATGTGAGGATGCAAAAGCAGGGGCTGTTTTTTTTAAGCCCCCCAAAAACTGTGAACAAAACGCACAAGACTGGCAGCAAGTTCTACAAATGGGTTTATTCGTGTTCCGAGACCATTTTTTGCAGTATCGGGAGCGTGCTGGCTGGCAATAGCCAGGCTGGTAAAATTACACCACTGTCCCCACCACAAATGAAGCCATTGACATTTTGCCCAGCATAAAAACAAGGGCTGACGATTTCCAGAGTATCTCTCTCTGTGCTGGTGATCAGCAAAGAGCACTCTGCTTCCAAACACTGGGACAAAAATAACCATACTGAAACCTGTCAAATACAGGGTGACCAAAAAGTCATGAAACCATACAATGCTTAATAAGTCTTAAAGATGATACTTTTGTGTTTTTTTTAAAAAGATAACCGGGTAGGTAGCTTCACGACTTTTTGGTGACCCTGTATATAGCCTTCCTGAGGGCCCTGTCTAAAAGGTAGTAATTCAACACAGAAAAAGACAACAGACAGAAATTAACTACTGCATTCCCAGAATATTGCTGAAGCATCACACAGCCCCAAGAGCAAAAGATGGTCTCGAGCAGTGTGCCTCGCTACTCTCCAGTGAACAGCTCTAAGCAAATGTGATCAAGCTGCTGACCTGACTTGTACTTAAAACAATTACAGTTCAACCCCAAATGGGTGAGCAGGCACTTCAAAACAACGCAAAATACTCGGAATTCACATTTTAAACAAAATTACCTCACAGCTAGGATTGGGAGAAGAGATCATAAACAGTGTAAACAAGTACATTGGGGTGTTTGAGAGGAGTACTATGGGGATTGAGCAGTATTAAAACAAGAACCTCTAATGGTAATTTTTCCATTTGATACAGCACTTTTCACACGCAAAAGTGGCATCCATTTCACACAGCAATGTCTCACAAACAGCCATGAAATGAATGACCAATTTTATTTGGGAGATTACCTTGGGAGAGAGAAACTCCCGTCTCTTTTTGAATAGTACCTTTGATGTGCACCTGCACAGGCAGATTGGACATTGGTTAATGTTAATATAATCTTAAGGATGACACCTCCAACAACCCAGTGGTCCCCCATCACTGCCCTTGAGTGTCATCCTAGACTGTGAGCTCAAAGTCCCAATGTGGGGCTTGAACCCACAACCTTGTGACACCCGACACACAAAATAGACTTCAAAAGCTTTGGGAATTTCCAACTCATTATCATTGGGCCCCATGGAGTTTGCCATAGCTGGGGAGGATGGTATACATCTTACTAATTATCAGTTACCACATTCTGTACCAATTTCATGTTTCAGTTTTGACCTTATTCTCACGAGGTTTAGCTGTCAGTGTAAAGAAATGCGCTACAGGGATTAGAATGAAGTTTATCCTCAATTAAATTATTTTGTGAAGCAAATAAATTCCTTTTCCGGTTGCACCTTTGCCCACCATTGACAGGTTGGTGAAACTGCTTTGATGTGGCATTGTATTTGGAAGGTATTTAAAATACAAGCATTTAGGCTCTCAGTCTATTTGTTATTCACTATGTAACAAGAGACAGGGTTAGACCATCATATATTTTGCTGTCTCTTGGCATCTCTACATTATGTCCCACTGGCAAGAGTGCAGCTCAATGATCAATTTGCCGTTCACTCTGTTTTGAGTTGGAGCCAGACTAAAACGTGATAGTTGGTGTCCGTCCGTATAATCCCAACCAGGGTTATATTGTGCTTCACTGTGCATGTATGTAGAAAGCAGGTCAGTTTCTCCCAGTATAAAATGGCTGACCTCTGGGTCATCAGGTCACTGCTGTCACGGTGTTGCACAAGGAGGCGACGTGGGCAGCAACACCATGTTTCAGAAATTGGACAGTTTTAGTGTGCAAGAAGCTGGCCGATGATTTCAAGCAAAGCCTTGGGCTTCCTGCACATTTGATTGAGTTAAAACAAATGCTAGAATGAGCATGTGATAACGGGGCACAGGGAAATGGAGGTGAGGGTGTGGGAATCGTGAGTCCTACACTCCCATTTCCCCAGTATAAACCTATGACTGGCTCCAGGCTGCTCTGATGGGGGACTGAGAAAGCTGCAACACTTTTAACTGTTTTGTGTCAAGACAATTTCTAGAGTACGAACCTTCGCAAAAACACCTGAAAAACCAATGGGCAGAAAGCAGAAATCCTCGGGAATGCAGAGAGGCAGAGCTGCACTATTACTGGTCATTTTCTTCATATAAAAATATTTGGCTTAGGGTGGGGAGGAGCTCTGCAACAGATTCACCGCTCACTCTCGATGGACTAACACAAAGAGTCCCAGCAGAACGAGCACTGCATACTGTAAAACAGAAGAGCCCAACATTACAGTAAACACTCAAATAATGACGGAATAGAAAAAAAACAAAAGGTTTGAACTGGAAATGGAATTCAAGTTGTTACCTTAAATTTGGGATAGTCGTTCATAAGAATTGTCACAATGCCTATATAAGGCACAAAGCTGGAAAAAAATAAAACATTTACATGAACACATGATAAAATCCAATTTCCCATTCTCCAGTGTAGACATCAAACCCTCCCCTACTATAAATAATAATAATTTTCCTTGCATTTGATATAGCACCTTATCAAGTCTTCAAGACGTATGAAAATGCTTGACAAAATACACTGTAAAAGGATTTGATTGTGTATTTTGTGGGTGAAACCCGGCAGCCAATTGTGCACAGCAGTGTCTCACAAACAGTCGTGGATTGAGTGACCAAATTATTATTATTATTATTATTCGTAGGGAATATTACCTCTGGAAAACTGATCCGCCAATCGACTACAACTGGGCTCTTATTTACTGCTATGTAAACAGAGGCGTGCGGAGTAAGAAAGTTTGCCCAGCTGGAAATCAAACCCAGGTCCTCTCGCTTGCGAGATGAGTGCTCAAACCACTACGCTACAGGACGCCACTGTATTATACAAGTCAAAGTACAAATTATTTACATCTAAATAACTTTTGAGTGGATAAAATGCGTCACGTGACGTGGTCTTTGCTAGGTTTCCTGATATCAGCTGTGGCATAGTGGCCTTTGCGTCCTTATGTTCAACAAAACCTAGCTAGGGTTTCCACTCCAAAGCCCGGCTATTGTGAGGGTTATCAGACAGCCTTCTGATCATCAGCTCATCTGTACAGGTTACCAAAATTGGTTGCTTGCTCTCTGGTGTTTAAAGAGTTATCATGCTCCAGTGTAGAACTGTGAGCGTGACTTAACAGGGTTATAAAGAGCAATACAGATAGTAAACAAGCTATTATCACAGCTTTCATTCCTATCAAAGTGTCTGAGTAACATAGGAAAGTGCTGTGCAATCTATAAAATGATCAATCTCTACGGCTAACCACTCACTCTCCTAAAGTTAATCTCTGTAAACCTCTGATTAAGGTAAGTCACAAAAATGATACCATTGGAACTTTGGATATTTACAGCACAGAGTTTCATGTTTGGCCCTCACCTTACTGAAACACCTATCCTTTTAGTTCCATTCAACACATTGCCCATTAGTAGTTGATAGTTTTAAAAAAAATGTTTCAACATCTTTAGTGATTGAAAACTCTTAAAATGTATTCTACGCATTAACAACAACAACAACATTACATGAGTTTAGCGCCTTTCACGTCAGGAGGACGTTCCAACGTGCTAGACAGACAGATTTAGGGACCCGAGCTGGGATCGGGGTGGGGGATGGAAGCAGGGAAATCAAAAGGACCGTCGAAGAGGAGGGTCTTGAGATGTGTCTTGAAGCTGGCAAGGCGGGGGGACTGCGGGATGGAGTTCCAGAGGGTGGAGACAGAGTTGCGGAAGGCCCGCTTGCCAATAATGGGGCAAGCGAGGCGGGGAATGTGAAGCTGGCCGGAGCCCGCTGAGCGGAGGGAGCGAACAGGATGGTAGAAGGTTAGGAGGTCGCAGAGATAGGGGGAGCAAGACCATGGGGGGCTTTGAAGGTGAGGACCAGGATCTTGAACTGTATCCTCTGTGTGATGGGACGCCAGTGGAGTCGGGCGAGGATGGGGGTGATAGGGTCGCGGAGCCTGGTGCGGGAGAGGACACGAGCTGCAGAGTTCTGGATGATGTGCAGCCTGTGGAGGGAGGAGTTGGGGAGACCAACAAGCAGTGAGTTTGCATAGCCGAGCCTCGATGTAATGAAGGCATGTATGAGGGTTTTGGCGGCCTGTGGTGTGAGACAATGTTGGAGCGGGCAAAGTTGCAAAGGTGCGGGAAGGCAGAGCGGGTCATGGCACAGATGTGGGTAGAAAGGATAGTTGAGGGTCAAACAAGACCCCAAGGTTCGGGACTGGCTTAGCAAGGTGGAGTGAGCCCCATGGATGGTGAAGCTGTCAGAGCCTGAAGTGAGGAGGCGCTGACGAGAGCCAATCAGGAGCCTTGATCTTGTTGACGTTCAACTGAAGAAAATTAGCTCTCATCCAGGACTTGATGTCTGACAGACATATAGATACTGAAGAGGACAGAGATGCTGCACGAGACGGTCCGGGGGCTGGAGGGGAAACCGTTTATGGAGATGAAGTGCAGGCGGTGTGAGGGGTACGATCTGATCCAGTCAAGGACAGCGCCTTGGAGGTTATAATAGTAATAATAATAATCCTTGCGCTTTTCACGTCGGGAGGACGTCCCAAAGCGCTTCACAGAACACACTGTAAAGTGAATTGACTGTATATTTGTGGGCGAACGCGGCAGCCAATTGCGCACAGCAATGTCCCACAAACAGTCGTAGATTGAAAATGACCAATTTATTATTGTTTTTGGTTTTGGAGGGATTATTATTAGGCTCTGTGTGGAGTAAGGAAACTTGCCCAAGGTTTCGCTCTGACCTGCCGGGGATTGAACTCAGGTCTCTCGCTTGCAAAGCGAGTGCTCTAACCACTGAGCTACAGGACTCCACAGGTGAGAGGAGAGGCGGTGGATGAGGATAGAGTGGTCAACAGTGTCGAAAACAGCAGAGAGGTCAAGGAGGACGAGGAGGCAGAGGGAGCCCTGGTCGCAGATGGACAGAATGTCCTTGGTCACTTTGACCAGGGCTGCTTCTGTGCTGTGGGCGGTACAGAAACTCGATTGGAGGGGTTCGAGAAGGGAGTGACGGGAGAGGAGGGAAGAAGCAACAACTCGATCTAAGACCTTGGAGAGGAAAGGGAGGTTGGGGATGGGGTGTACAGAAGGGTCCAGGGAGGGNTTTTTTTAAGGATAGGAGTGATGACAGCATTTGTAATGGGGTGGGAACAGTACCAGAGGACAGGGAGAGGTTTACAATGACAGTGAGTAGAGGGGCAAGGAGGTGGAGCTGGTAGGTAAGGAGAGGGGTAGGGAGGGGGTCGAGGAAGCAGGTGGTGGGTTTCATATGGGTTATGGTGGTGATGAGCGAGGGGGGGAGACAGGTTCAAAGGTGTGGAGGGAGCAATGAGTAGGAGCTGGGGTGGGAGGAGGAGATGGGGAGGGGATAGCAGATGCAGTGGCAGAGGCAGCTGAGCGGATTCCTTCGACTTTAGATTTGAGGAAGTCCAGCATCGCTTTGCAGTTGGCATTTGAGGTGAGGATGGGTGAGGCGTGAGAGGAGCCAGTTCGTGATGGAGAAGAGGAGCTTGGGGTTGTCCTTAGCCTCCAAGATTGTCTTGGGAGTAGAAAGTTAGATGGTTCACATGTGCAGAAACCCTCTCTCATGCTTGCTTGTAACCGATGTGTGAAAAGATCCCTATGTCTGGAATGGAAATATGGAGTTTCTCCCTGGAGGGACGCATTCGGATTACCTAATTCCAGAAATATTAGGGCATATTGGCGAGATTCAAGGGTTGGGGACCCCAGAGTGTGCATTGGGGTAACTGCTGGAGTTTAAGAAGCTGACTTTACATAGCTGGGGAAGCTAGGGCCACCTATTGGGATTTTGGGGTCTTGTTTTTTGCAAGAGCTGAGTTAGAAGAATCCCTGCCCCCAGTGTTAAAGACTGAAATACATTTCTGATCTTAATACACTCGAGCAGCAATTTAAAATTTTTTTTTTAAAAAAAGCTCATTTTGATTTCCCAGCTCCCATTCCAAATTAGGTACAGAAAGTAGTTTTAACTTTTTTTTTGTTCAAAGAGAGAGGGCTGCCCGAATGAACGCAGTGGTCAAGGCAGAATCTATATTAGCTTTCAAGAGGGGACAAAATAGATATCTAAAATTAGTAACTTGCAGGGGTAAGGGGGAAAAGGCACATAAATGGAACTGAATAGATTGCTCATTCAAAGAACAGCACAGACCTGAAGGGCAAAATAGCCTTCTTCCAAGCTGTAAATTCCATGGTTCTATGTTGCATTTCAGGTTGAATGTAAGTTAGTATAAATTCATGCAATATTTAGATATTCAAGGAAACTTCAAAGGGTCGATAAAGCTAAACATGCATAAACAGTTACTAGATATTCCGCCTCAGCAGATTCCCTTTGAAATGAGTTTAGAAAGTTTGACTTTTCCGAATAGACACAATAGCTCTTATTTGAGGATGTCTAATGATGTGCAAACTATACAATCAATGATTCACCAACAATTCTATAATCATCTGCATTTCTAAAGAGCGTATTCTACGCTTGACTGTGCACAACCGTGTGCAATTGGAGCGAGTCTCTGTCACTGCTTTAGATACACAGATATGACCACTATCTTAAAAGAACACTGTCCTTCTTGGCAAACAATAAGGTTAGCAACTAAGGAATTGTATTGTTGAACACACACAAAGATTCACAAGAGGAACTCCTGCTAATGAAGTACAGTACCTCAGAGGCACACTGTTCTTGCATTTGAGAAGCCGCTTACCCTCGTGCCCGGCCCACCACATCCTTTTTCTCCAGCCAATGTTGTCCCTGTTTGTACAGGCCTCGGTCATCAACAGCATTGTTGTCGCCTTTCGTCAGGAATTTAATATCGCCATTTTCCCTGGAACAACACACAAAAGAAACAGATTGTTGCTGTTGGCTTTTATCCAAAACAAGAGGCACTATCTTAAAATTAGAGCTAGGCCATTTAGGAGTGAAAGGAGGAGGCAGCTTTCCCCACAAAGGGTAGTGGAAATCTGGAACTCTCTCCCCTGAAAGGTTGTGGATGCTGGATATTCACATCTTCAAGACTGAGCTGTATAGGTATTTGTTAGGTCAGGGTATCAAGGGATATGGAGCAAAGGCTGGTAATTGGTGTTGAGGTACAGATCAGTCATTATCTTATAGAATGGTGGTACCGGCTCGAGGGGCTGAATGTTCCTATGTATCTGAAACTGTGTGGGTGGGCCAGGGCAGATTGGAAGTGGTAGCTAAAGCATAGAATGCTATGGGTGACGAATATATTGTATTGGATTTCACATGCAGTAGTCCAAGTACACTGCACTTTCAACCAAAAGAGGTGGGTAGGTTTATGGGATCCAGGCTTTGTTTATTCAGAAATCAATAGTTGGCCTGATCCAAGGCCACTGGACTGCTAAAATGGAACAATATCCCCCAGAGACATGAGCCAAAGTGGTTCTGCAACAAACAGCAGTTGCTCCACGTCCCATCACAGCCAGACTCTCCTCAACTCTAACCACCTCTCCCCCATGCTACCCAAACCGCTGCATGTACATGCTTCCTCAAAGGCCCATACGCACGCGGATCCTGCTTCCATGCAGGTATCAAAAAAGTTAACAAAATCCCTTCATCTCCTCCTCAGGCAGCATAAACTATTGTACATCCCAATCCCTTCCTCTACCAGCTAAAGCCTGTGCACGTGGCTACCTCCGAGAGGAGCAACCAAAGCCCCATACATCGCCCACCCCCACCTTTGGGCAGTAAAAACATAAGAACATAAGAATTAGGAGCAGGAGTAGGCCATTCGGCCCCTCGAGCTGCCCCACCATTCGATAAGATCATGGCTGATCTTCAGACCTAACTCTAATTACCTGCCCTATCCCCATATCCCCTAATCCCTCTGTTTTTTAAAAATCTATCAGTCTCAGCCTTGAAGATGTTCAAGGTCTGAGCATCTACAGCCTTCTGGGGGAGTGAAGAAATGTTTCCTCACCTCTGTTCTAAAAGGCTGACCCTTAATTTTCAGACTGTGACCCCTGGTTATAGATTCTCCCACCGGGGAAAGAGACCCTCAGTGTCTACTTTATCAGCTCTTTAAGAATCTTATATGTTTCAATAAGATCTCCCCTAATACTCTCGGTGCGGTCTCACCAAAGCCCTATACAGTTGCAGCAAGACTTCCCTACTCCTGTACTCTAAACCTTTTACAATGAACGCTAACTGCCGTTCGCCTTCTTAGTTGCTGCTGCACCTGCAAACTAACTTTTTGAGACTGGTGTACAAGGACACTCAAATCCCTCTGAGCACTAACTCTATCTAATCTCTCCCCCTCTAGAAAATAATGTTTTTCTGTTTTTTCTACCGAGGTGAATAACTTCACACTTCCCCACATTAAATTCCATCTGCCACCTACTCGCCCACTCCCCGAGCCTATCTATATTCCGTTGCAATCTTTTTGCATCATCCTCAGAGCTTACTCTCCCACCGAGTTTAGTGTCATCCGCAAATTTAATACGTTACGTTCAATGTCATCAAGATCATTGATGTAAATTGTAAATAGCTGAGGCCCAAGCACTGATCCTTGTGGCACTCCACTAGTCACATCTCCTGCCAATTCGAGAATGACCCATTTATCCCTATTCTCTGTTTTCTACCCGTTGGCCACTCTTCAATCTATGCTAATATGTTCCCATTAATCCCGTGGGCCTTAACCTTGTGCAATAGCCTTTTGTGTGGCACTTTGTCAAATGCCTTCTTAAAATCTAAATATACTACATCTACTGGTTCCCCCCTATCTAACCTGCAGATACATCTTCAAAAAACTCTAAAAGATTAGTTACGCATGACTTCCCTTTTGTAAAGCCATGTTGACTGCCTAATCTTGTTATGGTCTTCCAGGAATCCCATAATGACATCCTTAATTAAGGACTCAAGAATTTTCCCTCCCACTGATGTCAGACTAACTGGTCTATAGTTCCCCATCTTTTCTCTCCCACCCTTCTTAAATAATGGTGTTACATTTGCAATCTTCCAATCAATGGGAACCGTTCCAGAATCCAGAGAATTTTGGAAGATCAAAGACAAGCCATCCACTATCTCAGTAGCCACCTCTTTTAAAACCCTCGGATGTAGGCCATCAGGTCCAGGGATTTATCAGTTTTAAGACCTGACAATTTACCTAAAACCATTTCTTTACTAATATTAATTTCCCCAAGTTTCTCGCTCACATTGTCTTCTTGGTTCCCCTCTATTCTTGGTAGGTTTCAGTGTCTTCTAAGGTGAAGACAGTAGCAAAGTACTTGTTTAATGACTCTGCCATGTCTTTGTCCCCTACTATAGCTACTATACTGTAGCAGACTCACATTTACCTTTGACAGCCTCTCCCACTTTATATATTTATAAAAACTCTTGCAGTCTGCCTTTATGTTCCTCGCTAGTTTGCCCTCATATTCCATTTGAGGGCATGGAGACGAAGAAATCCTACACAAATGTTGCTGCGTTCTCCTTTAGGCAGCATAGCTCCAAAATGCACACACATTCCTTTCCCGAAGATAGCCAATGTCCCTATAATTGGATATGATGGGCTTTATTTCCTGATTGAATGATTTCCTGAATGATTTTGAAATGCTACACATTGCATTCACCTTTAGGAACAGTAAGCACACAACCTCCTTTAGTAATAGCCACTCCACCAATCAGTATTTCTTCAATATAAATGACCTAATCTAATTTCAACGCGCAGACAAACTCAATAACTGATCGATTAGTCAGGAGGCGGGCAGAACGGGGATTATTTCTTCCAATCCACCCTTCCTTCCTGGGTGAGGTGAGCTGGGAAATATCTCCAGATTAGTAAATCCTCTGAGAATATTTTAGAGAGAAATCCCAAGAGGCTGGATGTGGATAATAATAATCCTTGCATTTGATAGAGCAACTTATCACATCTTCGAGACGTCTCAAGGAGCTTATACTGTGCATTTTGTGGGTGAAACCCGGCAGCGAACTGCGCACAGCAGCATCTCACAAACAGTTGTGGATTGGGATGAGATCCAGAATGATATCATTCTGCACAATGGATCAGGTGACCAACCTCAAAAGGTCTAGTTTAACTGAATGCAGTAACTCCCAGGTGACCAGGTTTATTGGAACCCCGGACTAACACACGTACTTCTCGTGAATTTTGAGCACTCGGTGTACGATCGGGATCTCTCGCCCTTCGATTCGGAATACTACAATCTCTCCGACTCGGATGGGATCTTCCACACGATTGGTCAGGAAGAGGAGGTCCCCTCTGTGGAATGCAGGTTCCATACTGCCACTGTGTAAAACAAAGGTAGTCAATTAATATTCCAGTAGAGCTTTAGCCACCATCATCTTCCCCCTGATTTCTAACCAACAGACATCAAGTCTGTATTAGGTACATAGGAACTGCTAGATGAAGAAAGACTAAGGTCTATCTCGTTCACCTTCTGCCATCCTGGTCGTCACATACTACAATATTGGAGATGTTGATAGCAATTAATTCTGTATGGATTAGTTGACAACAGAATGGGAAGCTTTGGGAACCTTAGATCCACAGTTGCCTGGTTCTTCCAAGCCATACTACACTTACTATATGTCATGCCTCATATTACTCATATACTGTATCCCAAAATATTATTTTCTAAAATAAATCTATGTTTTATACTTGAATGAATTGACACTTTCTGCTTTCACCGTCTCTCCCTGGGGAGCCTAGGAACATAGGAATTGTTCTTATTACAATCAGAAAAAGAACCAGTAAAAGGATAGTTTCACATAGAAGAAATGGACTCATCAGTATTTCACAACCTGCTGTTCTTTCTGCTGAAAGCAAAGACTTCCAGAAATGCACCAGCCTTTCAATATCACAACCTTAGTGACTTTTTTTTCAAGACAAGAAACAGACTATAGAACTCAGCGATTTCAACCTACCTGCCCCTCGAATGCCCATTCTTGCTGACAGGGTGTTTGAACAACAATCATTACTATTAACTCTGGTAATTATACACCCTGTTTTGCAGGTCAGGAATGCTGAGGCTAACTGCTGTGGTCCTATTACTATTACCGGCTGAAGTCAGGGAACCAGCAGAGATGGGGGATTTAACCACAGATATTTCTGGGCTTCTGTCTTTATAACAGTGCAATGCCATGTAAATATTGCAAACTGCCTCTTGTAGGAACATAAATGCTTAAATTTGATTTGGCTTTAACTGATCCTGACTCTGGTCATGTAGACAATTAACAATAGCGGTGGAGAATGTGACAAGCAGCCATTTTTCATGTAACCTACCTGAGAACAACTACAATCGGGCTTTCACTTCCTGTGAGAACCATCAACCCTTTCCAGATCATCAGAGCAGAAGAAACGATCATACCAAAATTCAGCACCTGGTAGTACAGCTGGAAGAAAACTCACTTCATTATTAAAGAGCCCCAACAGCTTTGTAAAAGCACATTGGATTTTACAGAAATCAAGCGAAAAAACAAAATGTCAAATACATTTCAAGCAGGAGTGGAGGCTACAATCTGAACATAACAAAGCGGATACATCCCCAGCAATCAAGTGCTCCTTCTCCGAAACACATACATCCTAGTTGTCAATATCTTACCAGAAATAACTTTTATCTCTGTCTATGCTGATGTGCTCTAAAAATGTATACTGTAGTAAGGAAAATACTAGAAATTACCGTTTAATCTCCCCCTCCCCCCACAAAAAGGCTAGTACTGCTGCATAAATCAGATCAGATATTCAAGTGAAATTCTAAAGAAGAGATTTCTTATACCCCATTTATACTGCTGGAAGAAAAGTAATATAACTTCCAGTTCACCAGCGCTGTGCTTTGAGGAGAGATAAAAAAAATCCTTACATTTGGTAAAGTTTTTTACATCAGGATATAAAGTGACTGTGGGCAAACGCAGCAGCCAAATCACACATAGCAATGTCCTACAAATAACATGAAGTGAATGACTTATTCTATTGGGAAGATTGTTGGCCAGGACACCGGGAGAGACTCCTGGTACTGGCAGAGGTATGCAATATTTCAGAGGAGAAAGCTGAGCGGGTCAGAGCACGGTTATGCGGTTTAAAGGGCAGTCAAATAAGACAATAAGACATCGGCTCCGTGAGGTGGAGTGATGCTAGAGTGGGAATGCATTAACGGGAACCGAGTAGGAGACCCTTGGTCTCATTGACATTCACTGAAGAAAGTTAGAGCGCATCCAGGATTTAGGAATAGGCCATTCAGCTACTTGAGCCTGTTCCGCCATTCTATTAGATCCTGGCTGATCTGTGCCTCAACTCCATTTACCTGCCTTTGCTCCATATCGCTTGATACCTTTAGTGAACAAAAATCTATCCACCTCAGTCTTGAAAATTTTAATTGATCCAACATTCAGAATTGATGTCTGACCGATTGGTGAATTAGAGGGAAGAGACAAAGAGACACAGTTCTGACCGACCTAATGTACATTATCGTGTGGGACACGTTTCAGGCAAGTTGGGATGATCTGTCTTAAACCTAGTATTTATGCCTTTCCAACTGACAATGAAATGCAGCTCCACTCAAGACAGGAAACGTGAAAGAATAATGGATATCCTGAAGAATTCCTTACAGAAAAATAGTAAATACTCTTTACGTAAAACATTGTGATATGTTTTGAGACAATATATTAGGTCAGGATATATATTTAATTCAGGGTATCAAGGGATACGGGGCAAGGTTGGGCAATTGGGAGTTGAGGTACAGATCAGCCATGATCTGACAGAATGGCAGAACAGACTCGAGGGGCTGAATGGCCTCCTCCTGCTTCTTTGTTTCTATCTTGCAGACATGTAAGGCGTTATAGCAACTGTAACAATCATTTTTATGTTAATCGCCCTGTTGTGCATCGGTATAAACAGGACAGAAGATTAAAAGCAGCCTGAGGTGAGGTGAGGTGAGGTGCGCCTGCATGCAATTTGCAAAGTAAATTATAATTTTTTTAAAAAAAACAAAATTGTCAGAATTTCTGACCCGGAGAGCACAGAGCTCTGCCCATCTGTGTTATTTTTAAAGAAAAGGTGGGAAATCTTAAAAACATTAATGGAGTGGGGGGGGGGGGGTTACAGCCAGAGAGAGGGGTATGAAAACGTTTCATTTAAGGTAGGAAGGGGGGATTCTGTCCCTGGGTGTGTGCGTTTTGAAAAACAAGGTCAGGAAAAGTTGGCTTAAACAAACATATTTATGGGGAGGGCGAGAACTCTTCATTTGAGGTAAGAGAGGGTTCTGTCCCTTTGTGTGGGCGTTTAACAACGTAAAGGGGGTCAACCTATGTCTGAACCTCTTCTTTCTTAAACACACACACGCGCACCAGAGCTTCTCAAACATGATTTGATGGGGAAGGGGGCGAGAGAGAGGGGGGGAGGGGCGAGAGAGAGGGGGGGGGGGCGAGAGAGAGGGGAGGGGGGGGGCGAGAGAGAGGGGAGGGGGGCGAGAGAGAGGGGGGGGGGCGAGAGAGAGGGGGGGAGGGGGGGGGGACTGGGGGGAGGGGGGGAGGGGCGTTTGCAGCTGCGGTGGCATCCACCACAGGCGCCTTAGATCCACGTCTGTATAAAGGCCCCATCAGCCCCTCCTGCCATATGGCAGCACCAGCGCACCCCCCGCCGCCCTCTCCTGGGCTCCCGGTACTGTCAGACCCTCACCGAAGGTGTGGGGGGGGGGAGGGGGAGTGTTTATTGCCACAAAACTGCGGAAATCCCCCCAATAAAACCGCGCAAACACCTCAGGAAGCGGTGATTACAGTGCCCGGGGGGGGGGGGCCCCGGGGCCCGGGGGGCCCGGGGGGGGCGGACTGACTGACTGACTGACTGAGTGACTGACTGACCTGCCGCTTGTTCATGCGCCTCACATCGTTCAGAAAGTCCAGCGACATCATGGCGGGGGCTGTGGCGGTGCTGTGTGGGGTCTTCTCTGTCGGCTCTGTGCTGCCGCGGTCCCTCGGCTGCCCCTCCCCCCCCTCCACACGCACAGCCTCCGCTCCCACACCGGAAGCCGCTCGCGCGCAGCGCAGCACCGTCACCAGCGTTTGTAGCCCAAAAGTAGCCCAACAGGACCCGCCGCCTCAGGAAGACTCCACTTGTAGCCCAAACACGAGCCCAAAAGTCTCCGACGGTGATAACAATCTCGATATTGGCGGAGCGGCGGGGGGGCGGGGCTCGCGGGGGGCGGGGCTCGTGGGGGGCGGGGCTCGTGGGGGGCGGGGCTCGCGGGGGGCGGGGCTCGCGGGGGGGGCGGGGGGGTAGTGGGGGTGTGTGTGTGGCGGAGGGGCTATGGGTGTGTGTGTGTGGGGGCGTATGGGGTAGTGGGGTGTGTGTGGGGGGAGCTATGGGGGTGGGGGGGGTGTGGGGGTTATGGGGTGAGGGGCTATGGGGGTGTGTGTGTGTGGGGGGGCTATAGGGGTGTGGGGGCTATGGGGTGGGGGGGCTATGGGTGTGTGTGTGGGGGGCTATGGGGGGTGTGGGGGCTATGGGGGTGGGGGGGCTATGGGGTGTGGGGGGCTATGGGGGCTATGGGGGGTGGGGACTATGGGGTGTGTGGGGGTGGGGGGGCTATGGGGGTGGGGGCTATGGGGTGGGGGGCTATGAGGGTGGGGGGCTATGGGGGTGGGGGGCTATGGGGTGGGGGCTATGGGGGTGGGGGCTATGGGGGTGGGGGGGCTATGGGGTGGGGGGGCTATGGGGGTGGGGGTGTGTGTGGGGGCTATGGGGTGTGTGGGGTGGGGGGCTATGGGGTGTGTGGGGTGGGGGGGTGGGGGGCTATGGTGGGGTGAGGGGCTATGGGGGTGGGGGCTATGGGGTGGGGGGCTATGAGGGTGGGGGGCTATGGGGTGGGGGGCTATGGGGTGGGGGGCTATGGGGGTGGGGGTGTGTGTGGGGGCTATGGGGGTGTGTGGGGGTGGGGGGCTATGGGGGTGTGGGGGCTATGGGGGTGGGGGGCTATGGGGGTGGGGGAGCTATGGGGGTGTGGGGGCTATGGGGGTGGGGGGGCTATGGGGGGGTGTGGGGGCTATGGGTGTGGGGGGCTATGGGGGTGGGGGGGCTATGGGGGTGTGTGGGGCTATGGGGGTAGGGGGGCTATGGGGTGGGGGCTATGGGGTTGGGGGGCTATTGGGGGTGGGGGGGCAATGGAGGTGGGGCTATGGGGGGGGGGGGCTATGGGAGTGGGGGCTATGGGGTGTGGGGGGGGCTATGGGGTGTGGGGGGGCTATGGGGGTGGGGGGGCTATGGGGGTGGGGGGGCTATGGGGTGGGGGGACTATGGGGTGGGGGACTATGTGGGTGGGGGGCTATGGGGGTGGGGTGGCTATGGGGTGGGGGGGCTATGGGCTGTGTGGGGGTGGGGGGGGGGGCTATGGGGTGGGGGGCTATGCGGGGTGGGGGGGCTATGGGGTGTGGGGGCTATGGGGGTGGGGGGGGCTATGCGGGTGGGGGGGCTATGGGGGTGGGGGGGCTATGGGGTGGGGGGCTATGGGGTGGGGGGACTATGGGGTGGGGTGGCTATGGGTGTGGGGGGCTATGGGGGTGTGTGGGGGTGGGGGGCTATGGGGGTGGGGGGGCTATGGGGGTGGGGTGGCTATGGGGGTGGGGGGGCTATGGGGTGTGTGGGGGTGGGGGGCTATGGGGTGGGGGGCTATGGGGGGGTGTGGGTGTGGGGGCTATGGGGGTGGGGGGCTATGGGGGTGTGTGGGGGTGGGGGGCTATGGGGGGGTGTGGGGGTGGGGGGCTATGGGGGTGTGTGGGGGGGGGGTGGGGGGCTATGGGGTGGGGGGCTATGGGGGTGTGTGGGGGTGGGGGGGCTATGGGGGTGGGGGGGCTATGGGGGGGTGTGGGTGTGGGGGGCTATGGGGTGGGGGGCTATGGGGGGTGTGGGTGTGGGGGCTATGGGGGTGGGGGGGCTATGGGGGGGTGTGGTGTGGGGGCTATGGGGTGGGGGGCTATGGGGGTGTGTGGGGGTGGGGGGGCTATGGGGGGTGTGGGGGTGGGGGGGCTATGGGGGTGTGTGGGGGTGGGGGTGGGGGGGCTATGGGGGTGGGGGGCTATGGGGGTGTGGGTGTGGGGGGCTATGGGGGTGGGGGGGCTATGGGGGGTGTGGGGGTGGGGGGGCTATGGGGGTGGGGGGGCTATGGGGGGGTGTGGGTGTGGGGGGCTATGGGGTGGGGGGCTATGGGGGTGTGGGGGTGGGGGGGGCTATGGGGGTGTGTGGGGTGGGGGTGGGGGGCTATGGGGGGAATGTGGTTGTTGCTGAAGCTCCGCCCAATCTCTGACGTCACTTCCCTTCCGGCACAACTTTATTCAAACACCCACTTGAGTCGCCGGAAGTGACGTCGTTGCCGTTGCAGCTGCCGCTCAACACAACTTTGTCGAAACCGACGGCACCAGAGACCGTGTGTAAGTGGGTGTGAGTGTCTGAATGTGTGTGTGGGTGTGTGAGTGTGGGTGTGAGTGTGTGTGTGTGAGAGTGTGTGTGGGTGTGAGTGTGTGTGGGTGTGAGTGGGTGTGAGTGTGTGTGGGTGTGAGTGTGTGTGGGTGTGAGTGTGTGTGTGGGTGTGTGTGTGTGTGAGAGTGTGTGTGGGTGTGAGTGTGTGTGGGTGTGAGTGTGTGTGAGTGTGTGTGGGTGTGAGTGTGTGTGGGTGTGAGTGTGTGTGTGGGTGTGAGTGTGTGTATGGGTGTGAGTGTGTGTGAGTGTGTGTGGGTGTGAGTGTGTGTGGGTGTGAGTGGTGTGTGGGTGTGAGTGTGTGTGTGGGTGTGAGTGTGTGTGTGTGTGAGTGTGTGTGTGTGTGAGTGTGTGTGTGGGTGTGAGTGTGTGTGTGGGTGTGAGTGTGTGTGTGTGTGAGTGTGTGTGGGTGTGAGTGTGTGTATGGGTGTGAGTGTGTGTGGGTGTGAGTGTGTGGGTGTGAGTGTGTGTGGGTGAGTGTGTGTGGGTGTGAGTGTGTGTGTGGGTGTGAGTGTGTGGGTGTGTGTGAGTGTGGGTGTGTGTGAGTGTGTGTGGGTGTGAGTGTGTGTGTGGGTGTGAGTGTGAGTGGGTGTGAGTGGGTGTGAGTGTGTGTGGGTGTGAGTGTGGGTGTGTGTGAGTGTGTGTGGGTGTGAGTGTGGGTGTGTGTGTGGGTGTGAGTGTGTGGGTGTGAGGGTGTGTGGGTGAGAGTGTGTGTGGGTGTGTGTGGGTGGGTGCAAGTGTATGTCTCTGCCTTCAACACAGCAGTGGGTAACAACCATCAGGCCTTTTACTGTATATATGTGTAGATTATATATGTATGTGCTTGTCCTGCGCCTTGTGATGGGCATCTCATATCTCCTATTTGGTACTGTATCAAATGCAATGATTATTATTATTATTCATGATCAATAATAATAACCCTTGCGTTTGATATAGTACCTTATCATTGAGCAAAGCACTTCACAGAATATACTGTAAAATGAATTGACTGTATATTTTGTGGGTGAATCATGGCAGCCAATTTGCGTACAACAGTATCCCACAATCAGTTGTGGATTGAGTGATTTTTTGGGGGGGATTATTACCCCCGGCAAGCGAGCCTCCAATCGACTAACAACCGGGTTCCTACTTACTGCTGGTAAACAGAGACGTGTGGAGTAAGGAAACTTGGATAACATTTTGCTCTGCCTGGCAATTTGAAAAAAAATGTATTTATTATAAATAAATAATAATGCTGGCATTTATTTTTGATACAGCGCCTTTCAACGTTCGCGAGGGTGTCGCAAAGCATTTACTGTAGTGACTGTGCATTTGGTGGGCGAACGCAGCAGCCAATTGCCGCACAGCACGGTGACGGCCCGCAAACATTGTTGTCCAGGACACTGGGAGAGTGAAAAACTCCCTTCTCTTTTGAATAGCACTGCGGGAGATATTTACTATCCACCTGAACAGGACACGGACAGGGCCTCGGTTTAACGTCTCACCCAAAGGACGGTGTCTCTTGATAACACAGCTCTCCCTCTCCCCCCCCACCCCAGCACCACACTGGAGTGTCAAGTCCCCAAATGGAGGGTCTTGAACCCACAACCTTCTGACTCAGGGGCAAGACTGAGCCAGACTGACACCTGAAAACATCACGACCAATATAAGGGACAGCAAAATCTTGCCTTTCACATAGGTCCCAGGACAGGTGTATACCCTAATCATATTTTGATAAACCAATTTTAAAACTACAGAACTATGAATATCAACAGGAAACGCAAGATAGATGTTGAAAATAGAAAATTCCAGTCCAAATGGGAAATGGAATACTTGTTTGTGGAAAGTAATGGAAAACCTCAGTGCCTTGTTTGCATGCAAGTATTATCTGTGTTGAAGGAGTTCAATATCGGCCGGCACTACAACGCACTACACAAGGCAAAATATGACGGATGTATTGGAGATGCACGTGCTGCTCTAATCGAGGACATGAAAAGCAAAATTAAACAAAAGAAAGTCATCATCAGAGCTCCAACATCTCAAAGTGCAAGTCTGACTGCATCTTACGAGGTCTGCCTCCAGCTAGCCAAGTGTAAGAAGCCATTCAGAGATGGTGAAGTGGTAAAACATTGTGCAGCCAAAATGGCTCGTGCATTTGGTGACGAAAAAATGGCCAGGAATTTTGAGAGCGTGTCTCTGTCTCATCAAATTGTAGCGAGGAGAATAAGTGACATGAATGTTCAGGTAAATGCGAAGCTCAGGACAATTGTTCAAACCTGTAAATACTTCTCATTAGCTGTCGCTGAGAGCACTGATTTTACTGATGTCAGTCAGCTGTTAATTTTCATTAGAACCATTGATGAAGATTTCAGCGTTTATGAAGAATTACTGGAGTTAGTTCCTCTGAATACCAGTAAAAAGGGGTTGGACATTTACGAGGCTCTTACGTCAGCGGTCAGTGAATATGGTGGATTTCAGAAGTGTTCCTGCATCGTGACGGATGGCACAAAATCCATGACCTTCTGTAAAAACGGTTTGGTGGGTTTGCTGAAAGAAAATGGAATCGAATGCACCACCCTTCACTCCATCATCCACCAGGAGTCCCTGTGCGAAAAGTCACTGAAAATGAGTAACGTGATGACAAGCGTCATCAAAGTCATCAATATTATCTGCGGAGAAAATCGAGCACAGAGTCAAAGAAAGTTCATACAGTTCATAAACTTCCTGGAAGAATTGGATGCCGAATATGGTGATTTGCCTCTCTATTCAGAAGTGCGTTGGCTGAGTGCGTCCAAGTGCCTCATGCAATATTTTGCCTTTAGGAAGGACGTCCTCTCCTTTCTGAAGAAACAAGTGAGGAGCAACACCACGCAGTTTGAGGAGGAATTGGAAAATCCAACCTACCTGTGTTCATTGGCTTTCTTAACGGACATCACAAGCCATTTCAATGTTATCAATCTTCGGCTACAGGATAGAAACCAGAATATTTCGAACCTTGTGGAACATGTCGACTGGTTCCGCAGAAAGCTCGAGCTGTTGAACTCCTCACTCCTCCAGAATGACCTCACCCATTTCCCATCGTGCAAGGAGCTTGCAGACGAGCTCGATGAGGCCGATTTCCGCAGCTTTTCGGAAATCATAACTGAACTGTTGGATGAGTTCAGCGCCAGATTTGCTGATCTCGAGGGTCTGAGGGCCAGTCTCCAGCTGTTCAACAATCCCATGGATGTATCGATTGAGCGGCAATCGAAAGATCTTCAGATGGAGTTGTGTGAATTGCAGGGTGACCCTTTCTTCCTCTCAAGGAAGAATGAAATCCCCGAAATATTCTGGAAACGTATTCCCAAGGATTGTTTTCCTAAATTAAATGACTTTGCACTGAAGATGTGTTCGATGTTTGCAAGCACGTACATTTCTGAAAGCACGTTTTCCACAATGAAACAACTTAAAGCCAAACATCACAACAAGCTGGACAGAGATACCCTTGGCTGCTGTCTGCGACTTGCCACCACTGAGTTTGAAGTTGACATTTTAGCTCTGGTTCAAGAGAAGCATTTCCCACAGTGTTCACAAGAGGATGTTTAATGACTAAGTGTTGAAGAAATGTATGTTGAGTAAAAGAATTTGAACTATGTGCAATTTTCATACAATCCACTTTAAATCTGTTACATTTATTCTTGATATTCTTGTGAATTATTATATATTCAGTGTATCTTTATTTTGTTAGTTTTGCAATTCTGGATCAATCTGTTCAGGTTTTGTTCAGCATTCTCTGTCAGGGCCTCTATATGCTGAGTTGACAGCTTGTGTTGTGACGGTGATACATAAAAAATTAACGTGATGCACATAACAACAAATTACATTTGTATAGCGCCTTTCACGTCAGAAGGATGTCCCAAAGTGCTGGAATATATCATTTCTATTTGAGATCGTTATTGTTAGGTATTATTAAATTATGTGCATTTAATTCACTTAATTACTTCTTTCACTTTCATTGTTTACCCTAAATTCAATGATTATTCTTGTACATAGAATTGTACAGCACAAAGGGAGGCCATTCGGCCCATCGAGTCTGTACGACTCTTTGAGAAGAGCAATGTAATGTCAATCCCACTCTCGGCCCTTTCCCCGTAACCTGCAAACCCGTCCTCCTCAAATACCCGTCCACCGCGTTTTTAAAAGTAGTTATCGAATCGGCCTCAACCGCCCTTTCAGGCAATGTGTTCCAGATTCGAAAAACTCGCTGCGTGAAAAAATGTCTTCTCCCCTCGGCTTCTTTTAGAGACTATTTGGAATCTGTGACCTCGAGTCACCGACACACCCACCAGTGGAAACAGTTTGTCCCTCTCTAACCTATCAAATCCCCTCATGATTTTGAAGACCTCTGTTAGGTTTCCTCGTAACCTTCTCTGCTCCAATGAGAATAATCCTCACCTCTCCAGCCTTTCCTCATCATCACGGTCCCTCATTCCTGGTACCATCCTCGTAAATCTCCTCTGTACCCTTTCCAATGCCTTAACATCCGTCCTATAGTGCGGTGCCCAGAACTGGGCGCAGTATTCTAACTGAGGCCTAACCAGTGTTTATATGGGTTAATCATCACCTCCTGACTCTTGTACTCTATGCCCCTATTTATAAAGCCCAGTATCCCATATGCCCTTTTTACAGCTGTATCTACCTGTCCTGCCACCTTCAAGGATTTATTTACCTGCACCCCCAGGTCTCTCTGTTCTTTTACCCCCTTAAGATTGTATTACCGCCTATATTGCTCCCCTCATTCTTTCTACCAAAATGCATTACTTTGCATTTCTCCACATTGAAACTCATCTGCTATGTGTCGCCCATTTTATCACCTGTCTATGTCTTCCTGCAGTCGGCTCCTATCCTTCTCACTGTTTACCCTCTCCCTAACTTTGTGTCGTCCGCAAACTTGGAAATGGTACTTGCTATACCCAAGTGCAGATCATTTATGTATATTAAGAAGAGCAATGGTCCTAATACCGATCCCTGGGGGACACCACTGTACACTTCCCTCCAGTCAGAAAAGCAGCCGTTCACCACAACTCTCTGCTTTCTGTCTCCCAGTGAGCTCTGGATCCGCTGCCACTGTCCCTTTTATACCATGGGCTTCTATCTTTCTTACAAGTCTTTCATGTGGCACTTTGTCAAATGCCTTTTGAAAGTCCACATAAACAACATCAACTGCACTACCTTTATCCACCCTCATCGAAAAATTCTATTAGATTTGTTAGACAAGATTTGCCTTTAACAAATCCGTGCGGCTGTCCCTAATTAATCCATATTCTTCTCAGTGAAGATTTATTCTGTCCCGGATTATAGTCTCCAGGAGTTTCCCCACTGCTGATGTTAGGCACTGGCCTGGAGTTCCCAGGTTTGTCCTTCTGTCCCTTTTTGTACAAGAGAGTCACATTGGCCACTCTCCAGTCCTCGGGCACCACTCCTGTGTCCAACGAAGATTGAACATTTGTAGCCAAAGCCTCCGCTATTTGTACCCGTGCCTCCCATAGCTAACCTTTTATCGTATAATCTTTTTGCCCCTCTTACTTCCTTTTTCAGTTCTCCTCTGCACTTCCTATATTCTATTTGGTTGTTTTCCATATCTTGGGTTTGACATTTGTCATACGCCTCCTTTTTCTGCTTCATTCTAGACACAATTACCTTCGTCATCCAGGGAGGTTTGGAAGCCCTACTTTTCCCTTTTGTGGGAATGTATTTGTTCTGTCCCCGAGCTATCTCATCCTTGAAGACTTCCCACTGCTCTTTAGTTGTTTTTCCTGCCAATCTTTCTTTCCAGTCCACCTTGGCTCGGTCCCTTTTTAACTCACTGAAATTAGCCTCTTCTAGTTGAATACCTTTACCTTTGATGGTTCCTTGTCTCTTTCCATATGCACTGAATCTAATGATGTTGTGATCACTATTGCCCAGATGCTCTCCCACTGAAACCTGATCCACTTGCCCTACTTCATTCAGAACTCGATCCAGCACTGCTTCCTTCCTCGTTGGGCTGGAAACGTACTGATCAAGAAAGTTGTCCTCTCTGCATTTTAGGAATCTTTTCCCTCCTTGCCCTTTGCGCTGTTGTTTTGCCAGTCTATGTTGGGATAATTAAAGTCCCCCATTATCACAACTCTATTGGCCTTGCATCTGTCTGAGATCTGCTTGCAGATCTGCTCATCTATTTCCTTCCCACTATTTGGTGGTCTATAGTATACCCCGACCAGCGTAACAGCTCCTTTTTTGTTCCTTAACTCTAACCAGATAGATTCCGTTTTGGGGCCCTCCAGCACCTCGACCCTTTCCACGGCTATAACCATATCCTTGATTAACATTGCCACACCCCCTCCTTTTTTTCCTTCCCTATCCCTCCTGTACATTATAGCCTCAATATTCAGCTCCCATTCCTGTCCTTGCTTGAGCCAAGTCTCTGTTACTGCTACTACATCGTATCCCCCTATGACCACTTGAGCTGCAGCTCACCAATCTTGTTTGCTAAACTCCGTGCATTTAGGCACATGCACTCCAAGACCGACTTGACCTGTTCTGCACTTCCCCCCTGCTTTATTTCTCCATTTTCTAGCTCTTCGTTTATTGCATTCCCTTCCCCCCTCGAAACTTGTTTAAACCCTCCCCAACAGCATTAGTTAGCCTGTCTGCCAGTACATTCGCCCCAGCCCTGTTTAGGTGTAATCCATCCATATGGTACAGGTCCCACCTGCCCCAGAACTGGTCCCAATGATCCAGAAACCTGAAGCCCTCTTTTCTGGACCATTTCTCCAGCCAAGCATTCATATGCTTGATCCTGCCATTATGGTACTTATTTGCCCGAGGCACAGGGGGTAATCCAGAGATCACCACCTTGGATGTTCAATTCTTTAGTATGTTCCCCAGCTTTTGATATTGACCCTATAGAGTCTCAGCACTTTTTTTTAACCAATATCATGGATCCCCACCTGGACCACCACTTCTGGATGTTCTCCTTCCCCTGAAGAATTTTATCCACCCTTTCTGCGATGTAAGACTGTTGCACCAGGGAGGCAACACACCATCCTTGACTACCGTCTTCGGTTACGGAAACGTCGGTCTATACCTCTCACTCTTGTATCCCATATGACAACAGCATTGCTCCTGTTACCTATGTCCCCCTGTTCCACCACTCGGTTTATACTGTCCTCCCTGGAGATATCAACACTCTCAATGTTCAGTACAGTTATTATTATTATAGAGTACTGGTTTGAGAGTGCTACACTATTGGGGGCATTCTGCCCTGCCCGTCCCCTCTTCCCACCATGCTGGACAGTCACCCAGTCATTTTCCGTCTGAACCCTCGGTGTGTGGGGTGGGGTGACCACCTCTTGAGGTGTCTGGTCCATCAAATACTCACATCTGTTGATCAAGTTTGCAGCCCAAGGCTCCATCACCCCTCTCTCAGGGGTCCCATTATCTGCAGGACTAATGAAACTATCCTGTCCCTGAGTGTTAACCAGACGCAAGCATCTCCCGAGTCTCAGGGGAGTGATGGTTTTCTCCATCATACTGTCCAGGAACCTCTCACTGTCCCTGATGGAGCGCGGTGTCTGCACCTCGGCTTCCAGCTCAGCTCCTCTCAGCTGGAGCTTCCTGAGTTGCAGACACTCACTGCAGATGAAGTTGCCGGGCCTCAGGGCCCTCATTAACTCCCACATGTCACAGTCCTCGCATTTGACTTGCCATCATCTTCTCACACAGTGTTTCCTTTTTTTCATTTTTTGTTTTAATTTGCCGTCAGTGTTGTAGTTTCTGACAGTTTGTCGATGTTTGTCCCTGGTTCTGCTGTTGAAAAATGACATCACACCAACGTCACTTTTTCTTTTTTTGTTGCTCCGACAGTTCCCAGTTTACCTCCGCCGCTCCTTTTATGCTGATCGCTCGGCTCAAGCTCTGCCTCCGCTCTGTTCTGATTGCTCTCCCCGACATGTGGGAGTTAAGGAGGGTCCTGAGCCCCGGCAACTTCATCTGCAGCGAGTGTCTGCACCTCAGGAAGCTCCAGCTGAGAGGAGTATACGTATATATGGTTTGTTGATAAAAGTGTTTTATTGTTTTAAAACCATTGAATTGTTATATTGCCTGTTTTACAGTTTGCATTGCAATTAAAATATAATGAAACTAGCTGTACCCATTGCAGCTTCGCTTGCAACCAAAGGATCCAATATGGAATGTAGATTGACACACAGACAGACACACAGGCAGACATTTTGTCTTTATCTATACGAAGCTGGTAAGATTCCTGTGGGAGGACTCCTTGTTGGGAGTGCATGTGTGATGAGCTTGTTCAGATCATAGCTTTTCTCTGTTGCTACTTTGGTGCAGAATATATTAATATAGATATATATTTTTATAGAAGGGTGTGTGATCTCCTCTGTCGCTACTTTGTTGCAGAATACCATGCATACCTCATATTTTGCGGCTTATTTAAAGCATTTTTAAATATAGCTCATCAATGATAGGAGATCCCGAAAAGAAAATATGCCCATGACACTCCTCCATAAAAGACCTTTTCGATGAGGTGTAAATCATGTCACTGTCAATTGGTTATTGCTGTACCCGTTGTATTTATGCTTGCAACCAGTTTCATTTAATCAGCCTCTCTTTTGTCTGGCATTTTTATTTGTCCTTGAAAGGCTTGATCTTTGCTTCTTAGGCATCTTTAGAATCACCGCGTTAAAAGTAGTTATCGAATCGGCCTCGACCGCCCTTTCAGACAATGCGTTCCAGATTCGAACAACTCGCTGCGTGAAAAAATGTCTTCTCCCCTCCCCTCGGCTTCTTTTAGAGACTATTTGGAATCTGTGACCTCGAGTCACCGACACACCCACCAGTGGGAACAGTTTTTCCCTTTCTAACCTATCAAATCCCCTCATGACTTTGAAGACCTCTGTTAGGTTTCCTCGTAACCTTCTCTGCTCCAATGAGAATAATCCTCACCTCTCCAGCCTTTCCTCATCATCACGATCCCTCATTCCTGGTACCATCCTCATAAATCTCCTCTGTACCCTTTCCAAT